AGAGGGAGGGAGGGAGGGGGAAAGAGAGAGAGAGAAGGTAAGAGAGAAAGGAAGACTGAGCGAAAGAGGGTGAAGAGAAAAAGATAGTAGAGGATGAAAGAGGGAATCGCGCGGAGATCGCCGAGTTGGACCGATTGCTGGACGATCGTTGAATGGCAAAGTATGTGAAAGACGAAGAATGAAGTGCCGGGAACTCTAATGGAACATAGAACACATTACGCGGCACGTCACAGCGGCAAGGCACATGACGCGCGTACGCGGCATGGCGAGGCATGTAAACGCGGCCGAACCGCGCGCGAGGGATCGTGCAAAAGGCCTAAGAGGGTTCTCGGACGCAACCATGGCAACCATGGTCGTGTCCCCAGGGAGGTCGCCCTCCGATTGGCCCATCCCTCGCTTTTCCACCTATATACCTCGGCCATGGCCACGAGATTCGCCACGCTGTACTACCGTCACGTCGTTGGCCGATTATCATCCGCGGCATTCCCTAAGTCGTCTCGTTCGAGCGCGATGGCCGATACGCCGCGCGAGGATTAAAGGGATTTTTGCTCCAGAGCATCTCAAATAAAACAGACGCAAATGATAAATCATAAAGCTGAATGCGTTAGATATGTACGCGAAAGATTTCTGCTGAAATCAGTATTATTAACATCGTCACGCAATTTTTCGATAGAGAATCTATTTCCATCTCGTTTATCTGTCTTTGTTGGGGAGGGGGAGGGATAAAAATGAGAGTCTTCGCAGCGTGAGACTCTCACGGTATTTCTACGCTTCATTAATCTCTGCGAAAGTACTGCGAGGCGCGTAAACGAGCGAATCTCTTGCGCTTCATCGTTGGCACATCGTGAATGAAGGTCGAAAGTTTCAAGGTCGGAAACCAGTGTCGGAAACCGGTCTCCACCGCATATCAGCCGCATTGACGATGCTGAGAGGAGACTCGTGTTCTTTGAGTAGGTAACACTAAGGACCGAACGTGTTCGTATCACGGACTTTCGGCGTGGATCGATTCGGACGAGTTTTCGGAACGAGGGAGGACGAGTTTACGAGGGACACGATAGTATTGGGCGGAAGGAGCCCGCTGCGGGCGAATGGCAGATATTTGACGGTGGGGTGGTCGAACACGATTTGCTGCGCCAATGGGAGGACAGGAGGATAGAATTTATTTTTTGATTCAATCGAGGACCCCCGTGCTCGTAGCGTGGCGTTATACGTGAGATTGCGGAAGGCTTGTATTTCTACGTTGATGACATTTCTTTCCGTTGTGAAAAAAAACTTGCCTCTTTTTTTCCCTGTATCGTACACGCGATAATTCGTTACGTCAAAATCGACAGAAATGGAAATTGCCGTTATTGCTTTGTCTTCTATTTTCATCTGCGCGCACTAACGTGCAAAAATCTGCGGATTACTTTCTCAAAAACTTGCACCTGTAATTACAACGACTATATTAACTATATTAACTGTATTAAATATAACTTTATGAAATTTCGGTCTACTCTCCTCATTAGTGATGATCGTTATTCCGCGAATAAGAATCCGTGAATAAGAATCCGTCAATTGACATTTACATCAACGCAATGATTAAAATTGTATAGGACAAATTTATATCCATATATAATCAATAATAGTAAAGTATAATCGTATAGAGAATGGCATTAAAATATTTCATCATACATGAAAAGCGCAAAATTCATGTAAATGCTATTAAATGAAAATCGATCGAAACGTTCAATCGAATAAACGAACAAGTCCATATTCGGTCAAAGCGGGTTTTGATGCCTAATATAATATTTTGTATGAATTTCATATAATTTATCTATGATTTTATATAATTCGTAAAATAATAAATATCGTGTAATTGTGTGTCTTTGTAAAATTGACACTAGTAAACAGTATTGCAACATACACATAAAAAAAAGAGATGTGAAAGCCAAATGCACGGTTCATGGATTGCTCTAAGTGCCGACGAGGGAAAACCGATATATCGAAGGGGACGAATCCTCTTATCGCCGAAAGGAATCACAAAAATCAGGAAATCCGTGCAGGCGTAGGATAGGGAAAGATAAACTCTCGATTTTTATTATACGAACCTCCATCGTGTTATTTGGGATATCGCCTCGACATAGTGAAGAGACATTTAGACGTTAAAGTCATTCTTATTTCTTTAATATTTTTCCTACACACAGTGTGTCACATTTTTATATAATTCTGACGTATTCTACATCTCCTTCTAATTATAGCCCTGCAAAGAAACGAGGAGTCGATTGAATAAAAGTATAAAGGTTAAAGTTAATCGACGTTTTAAAATCTAATAACATCGCAGATAGAAATAATCAAAGACCTTCGACCCGTCCCGATAACATTAACACAAGATTGGCGCGATTGGCGTGACGGGGTGTATATTACCTACAATATTACGTATTACAGTACGCTCTTTCTCGGATATCGAGATCTGCAATTTGTAGTACAATCAGAAGCTTGAAAAAGAGACGCGTAAAATGAAAGCACGACATCGAAGGGGGACGGCAGGTAAAAACATGTAGAGAGAGGATGCGCAAGAGACCAGAGCGAGAGAAGGGTACTGTGCATGGGAAAGGGCCAAGCGAGCAAGAGTAACTCAATTTCCCGTCTGACAACTGCTCAATCGCAATTAACAGATTGGAGAAGCGCCTCGTGCAAACTCGCGCACGAGATGCGAAAAGAGTAGAGTAGTCTGGGCGCAAGATTTCGTGCTATCTGGAGAGTAGATAAGAGGTTCAGTCGGATAGAGAGAGGGAAAAAGGAGGGATGGGGAGAGAGAGAGAGAGAGAGGGGGGGAGGGGACAACAGGGTGGTTCGAGGAGGGTGAAGGCGTTCTCTCCGGAGAGGAAGCAGAAGAGAGTCGTGGAGCGCGAATGAGTACGAATGCGGACGAATGCGGATGATGCGAAATACCGTGCCGACGGCGCCGAGTGTGCGGCTGCACACTTATCGTGACAAAGGCACCGTCATTGTGTCGGTTGCAGGTGTGGTTCAGTAATCGCAGAGCGAAGTGGCGTCGAGAGGAGAAATTACGGAACCAGAGGAGAGCCGCCGTCGATCAGGTGGTCGCCGGTGGCAGCGGCGGGGGTAGCGGCACCGCGCCTCCCGCAGCCACCCCTGCTACGCCACGGTTACCCTTAAACGCTGGATTCAACGCCATGTACTCGTCGATACCGCAACCGATCGCCACTATGCCCGACACGTACAGGTTAGAGAATTTTTTTACGTTAAAGCAACAGCATTTTTCTCAAACGCAACATTTATATTGCAAGAGTCAATCTCGATCGTTCTCGATCGCAACAGCGATATTCATTGTTGTAAAAATTAAAATGAGACTCTGCTGAAATTTTGTTAAATCTCTATCACAAAGCTCGAAATTTTAATGCTAAATATTTGTGCGAACTCTCCTGTGAAGCTCCATTTTGCAAATGTAATTGCACGTCACTGTAATTAGAGTTCGATGCATGCCAATCGCGCATATCGTGACTTGTCGAGTAGTTGGTCGTTTTTCGATACGGATGCTTTTCTCACTCGTAGCTCGATGTCAAGCAGCCTGGGCGGGTCAATGGGTGGAAGCTGTCTTCAGCAACGCGCTGACGGCTACCCGGCGTACGTGTTTCACGAGCCTCTCCATTCGCTCACGCAGTCTTACTCTCACGCGCACAGCGCGGCCGCGGCCGCGCACTCGCAACCGCATCGCGGCATCCCGACGTCTCACGGTGGCACCCCCGCGACGCCAGGGGGACAACCCGCCGGACCAGGTGGAGCACCTTACCAGCCGACAACCTCGACCGCAACCGGTGAGTTCTCGCCACGACTAATTTGTCGTCTCTTCTCTATGCCTCGTGCTTTCAAGGTCACTCAAGAATAATTTAGGTAGAGCCAGGAATAATTAGTGTTTGCCGGAAGCGACTAACGATGTACCTTACAGCGGAGGAAAAATATTATTGGCACATGTCTTCCGAAATATTTACAAATAACAAAACGGTATTTTTTTCGTCAAATTAAAACAAATTCTTTTTTCATCGCGCCTTCTACGATTGCGCCTCCGATTAAGCGTATTTAATATTTCAATTGATCTTTATTACTCGTTATTTCTTAGTTGTTTTAAGAGTAGAAATTTCATATTATGATTAAAGATGTATTATTTTTTAACAAAATGAAAAATAAAAATATTACAGATCTTATTTTTGAAAGTCTCACGGGAAGTTTGACAGAAGTTTTTGATGAAGAACCTGAATGAAAAATTGTTTCAATAATAAATACACAGTTTCAAAAAAATAATTCAGATAAAATGAGAAAATTTTTACTTGAAAAATTGAAAATTATATTATTAAATATAAATATTGATCTTATATTGATTTGTTTTATGTGTATACATCAATCATCTTTATAAGGAAAGTATAAATTTCCAATTTCAGTCTCTTTTTGCGAAGCTTATACACCTGATACATCCTTAACGCCTAGTAAAAATATCAAAATATTATGTACATACATCTCAATATCAATAACTAATAAATTTTTTCTTAACTCTCTCTTTCCCATTGCTTAGATTATCTTCAAAAATTCTATACATTCATTGATACAACATACATACAACGTACGAGAATGTAATGATAGAACGAACGAATTCTCGTCAAAAACCAGTAGGGGTTTTCGTTTCCAATTTTCGCTCGGCGAGCGACCGCCGTTTCTTCCTCGTGCTCTAGCCGGCTCAAAGCGCGAAATAAAGCGTCGAGAATTACCTGGGAGCCTCTTCACACGCAATCTACATAGTCCTGCTAACAGACAAGAGAGAGAGAGAGAGAGAGAGAGAGAGAGAGGGATTGAGGGAGAGATATAAAGAGCGAGCGGGCAACGACGCGGTCGCGGCTCCACGCTCGCCCACGGAATTGTAAAAGGATTTTAAAACAAATCTCGCATGGCGCCGCTGGGCTGAATCGAAGAATGGGATGTTCGGCGGTTTTCCAACCCCGCCGATGTAGCTGGTGAATTTTCCATTTTCTCGACTCAACTTCTCTCTCTCCCCCTTCTCTCTCTTTTTTCACATGCCGGTTGGTTCCTCTCCGCTCAGCTCTTTCTTTTCTCTCCCGACTCTCTTCCTCTATTATCTCTTTTCTCCGTCTATCTTCACTATCTCACCCTCTCGTCTTCCGTTTAGCGAAAGCCACCACGGAGGGTCGCGCCTCTTCTCGCAGCCAGCGTCGCTTCGCCTTCTCTCTCTCTCTCTCTCTCTCTCTCTCTCTCTCTCCCTTTCTCACATCCCCTTCGCCTCTATACCCTTCCACCGTGAGGGGTGCGCTCGCTCCTTCGTGTCTATCCATCTATCCGTCCCTCTCGTCGCCCTCCGCCGGGCTCCCTTTTGCCTCTTTCTCCTTTGCGTCTCTCTTTCTCTCTCGCTTCCTCTCCCTCCTGAGGATATACAGGGGTGAACAGAGGATGTGGATGGGTTGGGTCTCGCCTCGGCTGGGCGAGCGCTCAATAACGTGCGAACCCCCAAAGGGGAGGAAATGTGCGGGGGTGCGCGGCGCGTATCTACAGGAACGGAACGGAGCGGAGCGCAAGCCGGAATGGTGGAATACTGCGGAATACACGCGCGCACACTGTGCGTCCCACCCCCCCCCCCCCCCCCCCTCCCCCCTCCCCCCCCCCCC